TTCACTCTACTCATTGAATTATACTTTTAGAATCCATTTATGGTCAAAGACTACTTAATTGTGTGATAAGGGACCTAATTCCTGAACTTCAAGTTCACCCTTATCTTCTGTGCAAGAGTTTGATAATTTTTATATAGGGAGATATTGTGAAGACTATAAATGGAGGTGGTTACATTTTAGAGCGCATATCATGCCAAATATGGAAAGATTGAGGATAACACTCCAGCTTCCTCATTGGTAAGTCTGTGAGTGACCTTACACCTGAAAGAGAAGTGATATCCAGAGAAGGAGGATAATTACTTCTTTTTGCTTCTCCTACCTAATGCAGTTTTTCAAATTTGATATATAACAACACAATTAAACTTTAATGTATCAGAGTTTCCATAAAAGACAAACTTTTGCTTAAAGGCTGACTCCCACATGACTATTTCCTTGTAGGAGGGATATAACTTCTTATATATGGATCACTGCCTTAGAGTACACATCTTACTGCTAATGTTAATAATATGGTATATAGATCGAATGGTGTCATTGGAAAGTTGACATCACACGCTGCTGTCTAGGTAGTTCATAAGTAACATGCTGAACCTTAGATGGTACCTGGGAACATTGAGTTCTCCCCAATCCATAGCATAATGATTACAGTTCTCTATGGACTACATACAGTGAGGATCATTTGTTTTTGTACAAGCTTTCTTTTGGGAAACAGGAACTTGGGGATGTGTTATATCAGGTGTATTATTATTTTATATTATCATTATATACGATTTTGTGTAATAAACTGTGAATTAAAGACAGGTGTAGAGGCTCTAAATGGCTTCAATTTAAAACAACTTCAGTATAGATTCGGTAACCTCAGTGTTTGGAGAATTTAGTACATTTTGCATGGATTCATTGGGAGAAGACTCATTCATAGAAGATTGAACATTAATTCTCTTGGATATCTCTTACACAATTTTCTGTTTAAATTTCATGCTTTCATATTGTTGTATAAAACAACTAGTGCGTAATTATTTGAGGAGCCCTGTGAGGCTTCTAGAAAATAATGATTATGGGTGTTATAGGGAATCTACAATGCCAATGGCTAAGTCATGATCGTCTGGGACTGAAAAGGTCCTTGGGTTGTTCAATTCCTATTACTAAATAAGAAGAATCCAGGCAAACAAGAATGGACTCTTCACTGCAAGTGGACAACCCACTAAAGTTGTAGGGAAAAGTTGGCATTTGGGAAGTTTATGTATTGTGCATGAATAATTTCTCAACATTTGAATGTTTAAATGTCGAGTATGGCTACAGAGGACTAGATGCTGGAGTCTGCCGTGTTGATGGTGTTCAACTGTGCTGAGATGAAGAGAAGACAGGACTGGAGAAGTCTTCTGAAGGAAGACTGAAGGTGGCACTGTGAAGAAAGGAGCCGGTTCTATACTTCAAAGATATTGCATTTTATGTGTGATGACTAATGATGTGTTGAAATTATATTTATGAATTTAGATAAGTAATTATTGGTGAATTGTATATTACATGATGTGTTCGAGAGAAAGATGATGGCTTTCTCATCCATACATTTAAAACATATGCTATGCACAGTTACTGCTTTCTGCGTCTGATTTCACATGGACTATGGAAGATATCAACTTCTTTTGTGTCTGGATTGTTTTACAAAACCATTCTTTGATCTTAAATCACATGTCACCCTTATCAAGGAACTACGTGAGAGAGAACATTGCAAACAAACACTTTTGGTGCTAAATAAAACAGAACTAACTTGCCTCCTATGGTGTACAGAAGCTAATATAATGCGCAAAATATCCATTCAGTTATATTAGAAAGGGACACTAATTCTTTTCCCCTTGAATTGATTGACTACGTTGAACCCTTCAGCTGTTTACCAGTAAAATGAACTATAACTCATATAATGAACCATTATTATTACTTGAACAGTTGTGTCTCCTGAGTAATCTCTTTGATTGTTCACAACATTTACTTATAACAACCAAATGTATAAGAAAGTTTACTTTTTTAAACTAAATGAAAAGAAATCTGTTGTTTTGACAAAGATTCAAGTTGTCCCTTAACCTGCGCATATGGACAATGAGTTACATGTTCTTCACAATATATATACACAAGTATATGAGTAAATAAGTAAATAAATGGAAAACATTTAAGAATAATTCCAGAGGAGCTCTAGCCATTGAGCTATATCCCTAGCAATGAAGCTTTTTCCCTCTTAATATATGAAGATTAACTCACTCAATACAGTGAGCTTTTATGTTGGATATTTTTTGAACATTTTAATATTTTCCTCCACTGTCTTCTTGCCTTCCTGGTTTCAAAGTGGTCTCATGGTATTCGTATCTTGCTGCTCTAAAGCTATTGTGTCATCCTTCCTCTGGCTGTTTTCAGATATTCTTTGGCTTTGATTTTATGAACTTAGATACAATGTGTCATAAATTAGTTTTTTTCTTTTGTTTTGTCATATATCTCCCTTCACATTCTTCCAGTCTCCCCAATATGTCATTTTTCTCATTGTTTCGGAAATGGTTTCTACCATTTCAAAAGTTCCTGGCATGTTTGCTCTTTCTTCTTTTGCTGTTCTAATTACAACAACGACACACTTTTTGCAATGTCCCATAGTTTTCAATGTTTTTGATTTGCAACATTTTCTCATTTTTCTTTATACATACGAGTTTCAGGATTCCCTACTGATATTTACCAAAGGTCCTTAGAATTCTTGTATGTGTCAGGGTATATGGACGAACTATCTTGGAATCAGAGCACATGTGTCTCCCCATTAGAGATCCTCACAAATCCAGGCTGATTAATTTTCCCTTGTTGAAGAAGTAAGGCATTTGTTCCTCACCCAAGATTCCAGCCACTCCCTTCTTCCTGTATCCCCACCATGATGTGTGTAATTCTACCCCAGCATTTCCTGGTCTTGGGAGTTGCTCTGTAGGAAATAGAAGGTTAACTGAAGAGGACATTCCAGTTATGCTGCTTTTGGAAGGCCATCACCTGTGCTGGCCACACATGGTCACTATCCTGCAACATTGCCTGCGGGTCACTGAACTCCTGAAACTAAGCCCTCATACATGTCCCCTAAGGCAATCTAATAAACTCACTGGTTCACAAAGCTGGACTTAGAAGGAAGTGTTCTTTATGGCCTGGTGTGAGGGCTTTCAATGTGGTGAATGAGCATTTGTTTACTTTTCCCCAGACACAGGTTACAACATCCTGCCAAGTAGTCGTAATGTCTGTTACTGTTTATGAAGTTTTTCTGACCTTCCTTAGGATTTCTACCTCTATAATTTCATCATTCTCCTGAATTTGAACCCTTGACATGATTTTTCCTCTAGAGTCAATAGCCATTTAATTTCAGTCATATTGTCCCAACACCTCTATATTATATTATATTTGTTTTAAACATTGAGACTATTTTTGTCACTTGGTGAGCCTATTTGCTAAGTGTAGAAATAATACATGAGGTAGTAGGAACAAAGAATAATGAAAGTAAGTAGAGTGTGCTATGTAGAGGGAATCTGGTTGAGACTTGGTTTGTGCTATTTACTGCATCTATAGATGTCAGAGCAAAACTTTCCCATGTTTGGTTCAACTCTTGTCTCCTCACTGCCATTGGTTTATCCTAGAGACTTCCTTTACCATCAATACTGCAGAGTCAGCTCTTTCAACCTCAATCCTCTGTGGTCTTATTGCACCCTTCTGTTGTGGTGTTAAAGGAGCAGGCAGAAGAAGTACCCTCCAGTGCAGTGAGCAATTAGTGTACTTGCTCCCATTGAATTTGGCCTTTCAGTCTTTTTAGTAGCATGTCACTCAACAGCTCCATCCAGAAGACCAGAGAGTGTGAGAATTGTTTGGTGTTTGATCTGATCATGGAAAGCAAAAGAGATCATGGGTTATATCTTCTCCTTCTTCCAGGTACAATAATCTCTAGAAATTTAGAAATCCTAAAATCATCTGTTATTGTTTTAGTTTTCTTATTAAAGACATGATAAAAACTGCATGTTGTCTATGTATGTTGTGATGGTAATTTTTCTCATCTTGATTTCAGGTAAGGACTTTGGCCTGTGGTTTTGGCTTTCTCATGGTAGCATTAGTTCATCAATTTCTTCTTTATTGTGAGGCAATAAATGGCAGTTTCCAAGTTCTTGACTTAACAGACTTAAAACTGGAAATCTAACTTTTGGTCAGTAATTATATTTGGTCATATTTTGTGAACAACTCTGAGTGAGTTAGATCACACAACTCCTGAATTGTTGCATATTTTCCTTATTATCTTATTGCCTTAGTTATCCTCTAAAATTTAGGTTACCTTTGTTCATGAAAGCTAGTTTAACTCAAATGGAGGGGGGGAAATGCTTGAAATGGGTTTCAATAAATTGACAAAGTTAAAACTTTTTTTAAAGACATAGAATTTTAAATAAAGGTCCCTACACATGAGGAAGAACATTGCTTTTCCTGGAATACCTGGACTCCAGTTTGACACACATCACTAGTTTGAGGGTGCACTGCAAAAAAGTACACTTTTCTTAGATACATTTTCCAAATGATATTGATTCACATTTCCAAGCAAAGACTGGCTCAGCTTGTCTCTACTAGACCTCCCTTCATTAGAGTATTCATGATCCTTGAAGGCTGGTTTCCCCTCAGCTCCTCTCAACCCCCATCCCACCCACCCCCAGCAAAGATACTTCGGTGTCTAGGTTTCTGGAGAAACATTGGGACTCAAGGTCACCCTTCCTATGAATGGTTCACTTTCTACACCATAAGTGATATGCTTTTTTGTTCCTTGAAATACCAGAGAAAAACATTAATAAACACTTGATAACTCCTACTTCCCAGATATTTCTGTTGATGACATTAGATATGTTTGTAAAATGTCTTTTATCATTATATCCCGTGTACACACATTCCACAGAAATCCTTTTGGGATCCAAATGAGTCAGGAGAAGTTAAAATATGTGAATAATATAAACTGGCATATATAAATGCTGCAGAAAAATCATTCTTTTATTTCTATTCAGAAAGGGGCAAATATATACTGTGTTTGCTTCCTTGCATATGGCTGAGAATTCAGCAGATCCAGGGTTGCTCAGAAGCATGGATTAGGGTGACTTATGGAGTCATCACCACTGTGTACTCTTCCTCTATACTATCCACATGCAGGGAATTCCAGCACAGGCCTCCATGTTAATATTCATCTGAAAATGGAAACTCAGGGTGGCCCTTAAAGCTAGAAAGACAAATAAATCATATTAGTTTTGAGTGACTTCTATGAAGTTGTTATGTGAAAATACAAAATTTTATTTTCTGGTAGTTCATACAGTCTACCTTGAACATTATTTTATAAATCATTAAACAAAGCTAAATAAGTAATTCATATCATGCTCCTTTCCCTAAGTCTTATACAGAAAATAGAAAGTCAAATTGTCAAATATACATCTATCAAAAAAGATATTTGGTTCTTTCAATTACAAATTCTTAATGAAAATAGAAACTGACCCCCTTGTTTTGAAAAGAACAAGCCAAGCTACACTCTCTGCACTAAAAAGCACTTCAGGAAGATACAAATGGATGGTGTCAATTTCATTTCAATTTTTCTAATTGATAAATTACTTGCTAGCTGCCTTCTACATGCACTGTACTAGTCTTGATTCAAAAGTAGAAAGAATGGACTGGAAACATGGCTGAGTAGAGAAAATGCTTTTGGTGCAAACCGGTGGCATGAGGTTTGATCCCCAGTACCCACATAAAGCTGGGCATGGTAGCATGCATCTGTAATAGTTCTCCATGGTGAAATGGAAAGTGGAGACAGGAAACTTCCTACAAACCCACAGGTAGCCTAGCATACACAGTAGAAATACTCTGTCTCAAACAGGGTAGAAAGCAAGGACCACAGTCAAGATTGTCCACTGACCACCAGATGCATGCAATGGTACACTCACATGCACTTATCCACATATACAAACAGGCACATACATGCACATGTCATACAAAGCAATGCACAAAGATAAGTGGAAGACTATTGCACATATGTATCTAAGAAGATAACTATAGAAAATCACAAGAAAGTAATAGTAACAGAAGCTGTAAGGGAGATAAAAAGAATTACTTATTAATTTTTCACATGAATAATATAAGTGATTGCTTGGTGCTTGGTCTTTTTGTAATATTTATCTGTTTTTCTTCATTTTTCTTCATACTAATAAAAGCATTAATAAAGATAAAATATATTAGCAATTTTTATATATGTTAGTGTACACTATGCTCATCAATTCTCATATTTATGTTCTTTTAGAGTAATTTCCCAGTATTAGAAGAAATACATATTCCATTTCTTCCCTCATTGATATAATAAATATTTCTTTTCCTGCCTTCTGATATATATGATATATTGATATATGTTTGTGTATACATATATATAGATAATATATATTCATATATACATACATATGTGGTGATATTGTGCACCCTAATAAACTTATCTGGGGTCACAGCCACTAGACATAGAGACCAGAAAATGGTGGCACACACGCCTTTAATCCTATTACTTGGGAGGCAGAAATCCATCCAGAACTCTGTGAGTTCAAGGACACACTGTAAACAGCCAGGCATGGTGACTCATGCCTTTAATCCCAGGAAGTGATGGCAGAAAGCAGAAAGGTATAGGCATGAGGACCAGGAACTAGAGCTGGTTAAGCTTTTAGGCTTTTGAGCAACAGTTCCACTGAGACCCATTCAGATGAGGACACAGATGCTTCCAGTTTGAGGAAACAGGATCAATTGAGGAACTGGCAAGGTGAGGAAGCTGTGGCTTGTTCTGTTTCTCCGATCATTAAGCGTTGACCCCCAATACCTGGCTCTGGGTTTGTTTTTATTAATAAGAACTTTTAAGATTCATGCTACATACATATGTGTATATATGTATGTATATATGATGTATATATATATGAGGTATATATCAGATATATATGCATGTATATATATACATACATACATACTTTCTACTTCAAATGTAAAAGATATATATATCATGAAGGAAGAGTAAGGTTTCTTATTGACTAGAAGTCCCCCATCAGGTGGGACTGTTTTCTGGGACTATTTTCTACATGCTATAGTGTTGATTATAATTCTATTCCCTATAACTTCTTGACCTTCAACATTGAAATCTCAATAGGCTAGAAAACCAATACCAAGTGAGCTATAGAATTCATTAAGCCAGTCATTATTAACACAAACACAGTGATTAGAATCTGAGGGGGGAACGTGCAATATGAAAGAAGTGAAGTTTTTAAAACCATTGAAAACATTAAATTGCCTGAAAACAATGAACAGTTTCACCTGGAGGAAATATCACAGACCATAGGATTGGTGGTCATGCATTTAATATAATTAGAGGTTAAGCAGGTGATATGTAAAATGACATGATATTGAACTGAAAAGACTTCAAGAGGCTTGTTTAAATGCCTCAAGGGTAAATCACAGGATAGATGAATTCAGAAGCACACATGAAACGCACAGACCCAGCACTGAAGACATAGAATGTTCCCTGAAACCGGAGGAGAGAAGTAAGTGCAGTAGTTAGGAGAAGGAATAATCCAAAGTGATTAGAGACCTGAGCCAGGGTCCACTCCTCCTGCTCCTGTCACAATGGACAGAATCCACAGGAGGCTAGAAACAGTTGCTAAAGCATTTGTCTCCTTCCTGACTTAACGTGGCCTCTGTATTCCTTGTTTAAATAAGGGCAAATGATAACAATTATGTTATATTCACTTCAGAAAATTAAAGTTGAGTAAAATAGGTTTATTGAAATTACTTACATGGAACCGGGTATGTATCGGATATTTTTATTTAGGCCATCAAGGACTTTCATGTCCTCTGAAGTCAACTGAAATTCAAAAACCTAAAAAACAATTAGGAACTACATTATTATTTTATACTGCATATTTGCCCATCTGCCCATTTCAAATGTACCAGACTGAATGGTGCAGATAAAATATTAATATATTAAAGAAATCTAGAAACTAAACACATGTTCACCAAAACATTTAAGTACATGATGAATACCAGGTGTGGAAATTCTGGAAATTAATTTCTGAATTGAAATGTACAGCCTCACAGACAAAGGTATTAACAAATAATCTGAAGAAGAAATATAAAAAATATTTTAAAAATCTGATAAAAATTTTATTACCCATTTTTCAATTGTAAGTATGTTTTAGTCAACATTTGAAATGATGACAGAATAATTCTGATGGAATTTAATAATAAGCTGCAAAGAACAGAGAATGACATTTTCAAAGATAATGGAGAAGAATTTTAGTGTGTTTCACATAGGAAAGCTTAACATCAGGTAACCAGAAAGAAAGCCATGAATAATCTAAATAATGTAGAGAGAAAATCTCTTTTATAATAGTATTTAATTTAAGTACTTAAGGGGAAATGAGATTTAGGAATGAGTTGTTTAACAAAGGCAGAATGTGAGATCAATGAATTTAGAGAATACAAAAATGAAATAGACTACAAGAACATCTCCTCTTCTTTGTATCTTCCAGAGTCCAGTCCATACTAAATGAATTTAGAGCTGTTCACATTAGGATGTGGAAGAAATTGTTGCCACATGTCTTAGGGCATCAGTTGTATTTACAAGAAGGAATAGTGTACCTGATAGAAGATTAGACATGAAAACACATTATAGAATTCAGAAACTATTGTGGATTGTACAATATGAGGAACACTGACTGGCAGGAGGATAAACACTACAGAGGGGAGAAACCAACTCCACTTAGGACAATGAAATATGTACCGTGGAGCAGACACCTCACTGCTCCCCACATGCATGAGCAACTTGACTACGCAACAAGAGAGAGCCTGACTAAGATTACAATAACCTGAGATAAGGTCAGCACACACAAATCTCTCACCATGAACTAAGGAGCTGCATAAGCGACTTTTCAAAAAGAGCCTGTAGTAGGTGTGGATTGATTCTAGCACTACTAGTGTTAAGGGTATAAATGTTCTCCTATTTGAAATGAGCAGAAAACCACTCTCAAAGGAGCCAAGATGTGAAAAGATAGTTGACATGAAGTGCATTCAAAGTGATTAGAGACCTGATCATTAAAATATAAATATGTATAGGGAAATACACATAATTTGAAGAATGAAAGTCACCTAGTCTCACCTGTCTCATTCAGAAAATGAAGAAAAGAGCATACCACTCACTTAAGGTTAAATTACCAATGTCATTCTGATATAAAAATCTAACTATGCTTCTAAGGAACAGGATTGAAAAACCCTTGGAGATGCCCTTAAAGCACAAATGCGTTGTGATTCTGACTAGTGTTATAGGACTAAAAACCAAGTCCATTAGGACAATTCTGTGTAGGTGCCTAACACCTGCAGCATCTCATTACCTGTATGTTCTCTTTTATCCTCTTCTCTGAGAAACTCTTGGCTAGGACCACAACCCCACGCTGCAGCTGATAGCGAAGAGCAATCAGGGCTGGAGTCCGCTTGTATTTTTTTGCCATGGAACCAAGAACTGGATCATCCAAAAGAATGGGGGTATTCTGGTCTACCCTGGAGGGAAGGTAGAAATGTTAAATTCCTTCTCCTTACTCTTTCATTTGTTAGAAGACTTCTAACACATAGGAAGATCGATATATAGACCAGGGTTTTAACAAATTTAATGCATGGAACTATAAAACCATTATGGTCTTTTATTCTCCCCAAAATGAAAATTCTCCCTGCTTACAATTCATTACATAATGAACTCCAAAAAAGTGTTGTAAGATTAAAAAAATATTTAACCAACCATGTTTTCCTTTGGTTTTATTCTCATTGTCCATATTACCATTTTTTTTCTCGGTGGCTTCCCAGAGCACTGTAAGCAACCAGAACTATGTCTTTTGACTTGCAGAAATCCAGAAGTTTTCCCTGGTTGAGATAAAGATGACATTCTACCTATAGATGGATGAAATAGAAACATACTAATTTACATAAAATTCCATATTTAATGTTACAAAGAAATGTTAAAAAATACTTAAAATGTGTGCTAGTTTAACCTATGTAATGAAATTTGAATTGAATGTATCACTATCAGGCCTGTTGTGGCGACTCATGCCCATAACTCAACACTTTAGGAAGCTGAGACAGGAAGATTGCAATGAACTTGTGGTCATTCTAGTCTATAATAGGTTTCAGACCAGCCTGGGCTACAGTTAGAGACTATGTCTATAAAACAAGCAAAACAAAACAAACAAACAAACACACAGAATCAAAAGGTGAAGAAGGAAGAGGGCAAAAAGGAAAAAATAAAAAATATAAACATCTTTGTAGTAAGATTTTTTTTACATTTATTTATGTATTTGGGGTTTGGTAGTTATTTGTGTGTATGTCACAGTGAACATATAGAGGTTAAAAGTTTTTTGTGTGGAGCCGGGCAGTGGTGGTGCACACCTTTAATCCCAGCACTCGGGAGGCAGAGACAGGCATATCTTTATGAGTTTGACGCCAGTCTGGTCTACAGAGCGAGATCCAGGAAAAGCACAAAGCTACACAGAGAAACGTGTAGAGAAAGAAAAGAAAAGAAAAGAAAAAAAAAGATTTTTGTATCATGGGGTCCCAAAAATCAAAGGGATTGGAGGTAAGACCTTTTAACCACTGAGCCACCTTGCTAGGTCCATGATTAGATAAAGTAATTGGTTTATATTCATTGCACATAGTGAGGAATTTCAGATACATCTTCATAAATATGTCATACATTTTGAGCCTATTCACCCTTCTTCCACTTCCTCCTCTACCTATGTATTACTCCCATTAATTGTTCCAGATTTACGTGGTTAAATTTAGAACTTAGGTTGAAGGGAAGTAACAGTTGGGGAAGTAACATTTCTGAGGGGAGTGAACTCTATATCCTACTTGATGGATGTAAATACTAGTTTTTGCTATGGTGAGTCATCACTGGTTCCAGATGTGGAGCAGAAAATGGACATACTGAATTTTGATTACTAAATAGAAAACTAAAACAAAAATTCATAAAAATCCATAAGGGGAAGAAAAGAAACAGGTATGTGAACATGGCAATAGTGTCATTTATGTATCTCTTGATATTAAAATGAAAAATAAGAAAACTCAGAGCAAATATTTACAGAAAATGAAAATGAATAATTTCTTACTAATGTGCAAAAAGAACTACAAGCAACTAAGGAATTCTGAGAGTAGGAGAAACAGTCTTCCCCAGGTAGGGGCATGCCAATCGATTATGTGGTACCAACTGATCAGTCCTAAAAACATATACATATACAAGTAACATTCTGTAGACTGAGAAGCCTATATTCATGAATTTATAAATATGTAAATATGTATGTGCAAACACACATAAATATATTTTTATAACAAAAATGAATCAAAATAAAGGTTATGAACTGAATTTGAAAGAGGAAAAGGGGTGCATGGGAGTGTAGCTAGAAGTTTTCCTGTGTCCCACCTGGCCCGTGGTCAGGACAAATTTCTCTCATCTGCCAGTCCTGCAGCTGCTTGGACCCAAGTAAACACACAGAGACTTACATTAATTAAAACTGCTTGGCCATTAGCTCAGGCTATTGACTAGCTCTTATACTTAAATGAATCCATAATTCTTATTTATGTTTAGCCACATGGCTTGGTACCTTTTCTCAGTTCTGCCTTCACATGGGAGGGTTTGTGGGAAGAAAAGGAAGGGAATAAATGAGAAGATAAACATGTAAAGAGGAAAGTCAGAGTTCCCTGTCAATGGTAATCATTATAGTAGCTTTCTTTCTCAAAACACTGATAATGAAAATTATAAAAGATTAGTCTCTCTTCTAGAAATAATTTTACTAGTTTGAATTTTTCAAAGGATGCCTCAGGTAAGAAATGTTACAGAGTAGCTAAAAATGAAATAATGATTTCCAAACCACAAAAATTGATGACTTACACAAAAATCATTGATGGATTCTCAAATATGACATGAAAATTGGTAATGAAACATGTACCAAATATGTATAGAATTTAGGTCACTATTTATAATAAAGAAACTTTACCATTTACCTTAATGTTGCTAAAAATAACTCAGGAGACAAGGCATGGCACACTGAACTTGCTATCACGCTTTATTTAATGGCAGAAATCAGAAAAATTGAAAGATGCTAGGGAATAAGATCATCTTAAAGCTTCGTTCTAAGTTTCTAATGTTATTTCTTCCCTCCAATTGGCACCTGGCAGTAGTAGAGAAAGAAAGGAATAAATGGGAAAGAATGGGGACTGAGGATCCCCACCTGATTGCACACAGGCTTGTACTTGAGCCCTGGCTTGTTCAGGATCATTTCCAGCTGCCTGCGGTTAAAGTTGGACACCCCGATGGACTTGGTCAGTCCTGCATCCTTACACCTCTCCATGGCCTAGACAGAAAGAATATGCCAAAATATAAACTAATATAAATGGAAGACTATAACATTAGAAACAACACTGTAAGAAAATGAAAATGAAACTTCTTGGCATTACTCCTTAGGAAAAACAAGAGTAAGGAAAATGATAGTATCATCCATGAAGAGGACCCTGAGCTATCCTTGGTCAATCAGACTCTTTGTTGTCAATTTAGTCAAACCTTCCCTTCGTTACTACTATATCACTGTCATGCATGGTCCCCAATCTTAAGAAACAAGCCCTTATAAAACCATTAGTTTTTACAACACAGAATGCATACCTCACTCTCACAGTGGAGTTCTTACCCTACTCTCCATTTCTGTACTTCCCATTGTGCCCTCTAATCCAAATACTCACCTCCCAGGTGGCACAGAGATCCACTGTGTCAAATATGGTTTTTCCATTCTCATCTGTTGGAAGATAATTCTCTCCTGGCTGGAATAGAGACAAATGTTAAACTAATCTCTCAACAGCTGTAGCTGTTGAGAGCTATTCCTCACAATAGCAAAACTCGCTGATAGAAGGTTGTGAATAGGACTTCCAGCAGATGGGTGGATCATACTTCATGTAATACTTATGTTATGAATGTAGAGTTGTAAAGAATGTCCTTGAACACCATAATTCTTTAAAAAATACATAATTAAATTTTAATAAAGAACTAATTTCTGGGTCCTTACACTATCTTGTTTGTCTTGTGTTTCTATTCAATGCCACCTTCACTTAGGAATTGGACAAGAATATGGTGGTGATCTCCACCAACAATAAACTCCATTTTTGGCCCATGGTAAACAAGAAATCTTCCCCCATGTTTCCTTGCTTGTGAATACTTCAAGCCTGGCAAGTGAACAAAAGATGAAGAGACAAAGGTTGTTATATTTTGTTGTGTTGCTTTCTTTTGTGTTTGTTTCTTTGTTTGTTTGGTGTGTGTGTGTGTGTGTGTGTTTCACAACTGTGAAGGTGCTGATTAAGGTTAGAAAATGTGTCAGGTCCACTAAAGCTGGAGTTATAGACAATTATGAACTGCCTAAGTGGGAACTGGAAACTGAACTCAGGTCTTCTGTAAGATCAGAAAGTGCTCTTAACCACTGAACCATCTCTCCAGTCCTAGATTGGTATACTTTCAAGATTGTTTTGGTGATGTAAAATACAGAGAAGCCAACACCTGTCAATGAACTAGAACTTCAAACTTCCTCAAGGCTAAATTTGTCACCAGTGGAAATTGCTGGAAAAAAAAAAACTAATCAAATTTGGAACTGAATAGATTTCTCAATGGTTAAGAGCACTTGCTGCTTTCCAGAGGACACAGATTCAATTCCTGGTACCCACATGTCAGCTCTTAACTGTTTATAACTCCTATCCCAAGGGATTCAATGCCATCTTCTGAACTCACTGGGTACTACACACAGACATAGTGCAAAACACTCATACACATAAAGTAAAATTAAAATAACTTTAAAAAAAGTATACAAATTTAAAGTAATACACAGGTCAGGAATTGAAAAGCAGAGACACTTTTTAAGACTACTTATAATATCAAATCTATTTATTATGGCTTAAGGTCTTTGTTTACATAATCCTAGCAACTCCTTTGCATAAAACAATTGGAGTATTTTCTAAAATTAACTGAATTATATTTTAAAACTTTATAGAAGTTGAATTCAACCAACCAGGAATATGTTAACATTAAAGATAAAAAATTTTTGGTAATCCAAACTGCATACCTTCAGAGATATTGGGAAATGAATAAGGTACAGGTCCACATAGTGCAATTGGAGTTTCTTCAGTGACTGTTCCAAGCCAAACTGCACCAGTTCTGGACGATGAAAAGTACACCAAAGCTATGAAAGGTAAAGAATGGAACTAACATTCAATTATTAAATTTCAAGAATTTGTTGTGTTACTTTACCTAATACAGAAACATTTTTCTACTGGTGTGACATTGATGACCATAGGAGAAACTATTCCTCTTCCTCTTGAATTTTTTTTCATTTGATATAGCCATAGACCTCCTTTAAATGTTTATTCATTGTAAGTTAATCTAGAAAATTACTCAAGTTCCAAAACTTTCATTAAGTAATAATAATGTTCAATAATAATCATCAAAATTATATTTTGCTAAATCAATAAAACATTTTAAGAGTCTAATACACTATAACTGTTCTTGCATATAATTCATTGTGGTGTGCTGTGTTAGGTTAACATATGTGAAGTAACTCTGACTTCACCCATAACTATTGCTTGTAATGTAAATAATCTCATTAACCTTATGTAAAGTTCTTCAGGATGTCCCAGGATTCCCAAGAACGCTAAGAGAACAGCTACTTTATTTTAAAAAAAAAAAAAAAAAAAAAAACAGCAGCAATGAAGGAATTATTCTCTAGAACATCTTATTTAGTGTTTCCCTAGGTCTAAATAGCCATTTAAAATTGTTCCAGAAAGATAGATTGTGTTAACAACCACAAAATTGGGTGGTCTACATTTGCTCACTCTGCATTGTTAGTTGGGGTCTCAGGTCTTTTTAGTAAAATGGTTGATGAAGGAATAATTGTTGCCATGTGCACTTTCAATCTTCACTAATCATCACAGGAACAAGGCACAATGCTGCTGTGCCTACCTGAAGAGAAGCTGAATAAAAGTGTACAAACTCAAAATAACCCATGGAGGGTTAGAGAGATGTGTTAGCAAGAGTGGACTTGTAGATAGTCCTGAATTGGTTCCCAGCACCCATATGGCAGCTACACAATCTTCTTTAACTCTAATTCTAGGGGATCTGATGCCCCCTTCTGGTCTCTGTGGGTACACATGGGTGAAGACAATATAACCTGTAAATTGATTTGCTGGACAATTTTACTAAATGGGGAACATGCATTAAGAGTATTGTAAAATATTATTGTAAGTTAATACTGAGCTGTAGATATTTCCAGTCTCTTTATTTCAATTTCCTCTTCGTAAAGTTACATAATAAACAGTATCATCTCTAAGATATTTTTAACTGAGTCAGAGTAAGAAAAAAATCAAAATATTTACATGGCCTGACCACTCACACTGAAATCATTGCCTTCAGCAACAACACAACCCTCAATATCTTCATTTGGAAATGTGAAGATTTTAAAAATGTAGTTTGGTTTTTATGGGAAACCACTTAGGAAAGAAAGACCAAAATACAAATATATAACACATAGCCATGTGCTACATAACAAAGTTTTGTTTAGCAGTGAACCAAACATGCAATGGTATTCCATAGACTATTACTGAGCTGAACTACTCCAATTGCCTAGTGACTTCAGAGACATCATAATGGCATAGCATAATGTACTACTGAGCTCTGTGGTGATGGTAGCAGTTTCAGAAAAGTATAGCATACACAATTATATATAGCCCATAATAATAAATGATTATAGCTGCTAATAACTTATAAATGTAATTTCATATACTTCTTACTGTGCATAGTATTTCTGTTCTTATAGAAACAAAATCTTTACTGAAGAAAATGAAAATCTAATGTGATTATCCCATCAACTCAAAGGGGATGAACTCATGTCTATTTTTTATATATATCTGAATGGAAAATATTTTGAATATCCAATTATATCCTAGTTATAGGAGAAGGAACACATTATTGAATTATATACATATTAGGTTATGGCTACATATTAAATATTCATATTTATATAATGTATTTGATTATTGTATAACTTTACTTATATAATTATATCATATATTATAGAATTAATTATATCTTGTTTAACACCAAAAGTGTTTTCTTATAATAGTGCATCTTATTGTTGAAAAAGAGAAGTAGTTTTCATAACAATGAGAAGTTTTATAGCTATTCACGCAATCCCCCAAAAAAGCCAATTTTTCAGTCCATTCTAAATCATGCTCTGACACTCAGAAAAAGAAGATAGTTAACATTCCACTGATGAATTTAAAGACATTGATAAAAAAGCTAAAGCTTTCTCTATGTTTAGCATTGTATGCAATAATAAGGGTCAATTTGTATATTGTACCAACCTTTGTTGTGTAAAATATATCTTCCCTCTTCACAGTGCCTTCTGCAATCTTGCTTCGAATGGCCAGTCCCACCTCCTCTTCATTTTGATACATAGAAGCAGAATCAATATGGCGGAAACCAGCATCTATAGCTATTTTGGTGGCTTCTGTAGCCTTAGTCTTGGGTACCTAAAAGAGCAACCCAAAGCAGCATTTAGAGATAGATATGACTTAGAATTTTTAAGGTACAAGAACAAAGGAAACATCTTCTTCCACATCAAGTTTCCCTGTGTCTTCAGTGAGGTGTCCTTTTGCAGAAAAGAATCCAACCAAGTTTATCTGGACCTCTCCCACTGAGTCACATGAGTGGGTACCCCAGGAACCAGTCAATCTGTCCAGTCAATTACAGGTCAGTCATTGGCATTAGGGTCCGCACTGATACCTCAGGAACTGTTATGTGCTAGAAGGATGCCTAGGTATATGAATCCATAAAATTTATACAGGAAAAGGGGCATGAGATCACATAAAGAAGAAACACTATAGAACCTCTGATGAGCCTTCTCCCAGCGAAGTCACAGAGAATACATCAAAGTCCCTAACACTGAATTTACAAAATACAAGAGTTTAAACAGAAACTTTTTAGAGTCTCCATTCCTAAGCTGTTCATTTGTAGCTTGTTAAACAACCCCTAGTGCATCCCAGATGAAAGCATATACACGTGAGTCCTACTGTTTGCATAGGCAGTTCATGGAAAGCTTTCATCCTTGTTATGAAATGGGAAGATGTCAACATTCCCAGGGATCATCTAAGGTTGAGTTTGTCAACAGGAATTGAGTAGACAGTAGTATGATGTAAATTATTTTCACACAGCCATTTTATCTGCACAAAAACAAAAACTATCAGCAAGATGTGTACTCAAAGATTCATACCTAGTAAATTAAGGATATCACACAGAAAAATATTCAGGTACATGCCCTCCTTTAAGCTACAATTTTGTATTTTGTGGAAGTTGTGATATAACTAAAAATAAGTTTTTCCTTTGCTTGGCTAAGTTTTAATTTAAAATATAGAAGTGCATTAAAGGATGAAAATGAAATGGTGATATAGTAAACATATAGGAAAATTGAAGGAAATTCAGGAAAAAGTAGATATTTTCCACAATGTTCATTGTCTTAGTTAGAGTTTCTGTTCCTGTGGTAAAACACCCTGACCAAAAGCAACTTGTGGAGGAAAGGATTTATTTCACCTTACAGCTTTTAGGTCACACTCTATCACTCAAGGATGTCAGGGCAGAAACTCAAGGCAGGTAACTGGAGGCAGGAGCTGATGCAGAGGCCAGAGAGAATTGCTGCCTAATGGCTTAATCCTTTTGGCTTGCTCAATTTGCTTTCTTATGGAACCCAAAACCACAAACCCAGGATTATACCACCCACAGTAGACTGGGCTCTCTTACATCAATCACTAATTTAGAAAATTCCCTACAGCCAAATCTTATGGAAGCATTTTCTTAACTGACATTCTCTCCTCTCAAATGACTTCAGTTTATTTCAAGTTGACATGAAATTATCCAGCACATGAAAAGAACAGTACAGTTTTAAAATGAGTAAATATGTAAACACACTTGTTGATAGAAGAACTGGGGAGACCAACAAGCATTTTTTAAAAGCCCAATTGTCATCAGAGACGTTTCATCCTGCAACTGGTAGAAACAAATGCAGAGACCAATTGCCCTAGCTCAGAGAATCCTGCTGAAGAGAGACAGGAAGATTGTAGGAGCCAGGGGGATCAAGGACATAACAAGAAAACCCACAGAATCAAATAACCTTGGTTCACAGGAACTCACAGAGTCTGAACTGAACCAGGGAGCCTGCATTGGACTGACCTAGGCCTTCTGCATATATGTGACAGTTGTGTAGCTTGGTCTTCTTAGGGAATTTCTAACAGTGGGAGCAGGGGCTGTCTCTAACACTTTAGACATTGTCTCCTCTCAAATGACTTTAACTTATGTCAACTTGGCATAAAACCCTCCAACACATGAAAAAGAATAGTACAGTTTTAAAATGAGTAAATATATAAACACACATGTCAATATAAGAACTGGAGGTGGATAACAAACACTTTTTAAAAGCCCAATTGTTATCAGAGAGGCTTCATCCTGTAGCTGGTAGAAACAGATGCAGAGATCAATAGCCCCAGCTCTATTCCTCATACTGGGTCACCTTGCTGAGCCCCAATACATGGAGAGTTGCTTAGTCTTACTGTAATTTGATATGCCATGTTTTATTGATATCCATGAGAGGCCTGCCCTTTTCTGAACAGAAATGAAGGAGCAGTGAATTGGGAGGTGGGGGGCAGGAGGTTGTTGGTGGGGAGGGAATGGGATGAGAAGAGAGAGGCGAAACTGCAGTCAGGATGTAAAATAAACAAATAAATTTAAAATAAAATAAAAAATTAAAGAAAAAACATAGTCAGTACTCAGTATCATTGGTCATCATGCAGTGCTCTTGATGGCTTCTTTTCATTCTTTCTGCCTAATTTCGATAGAGAGAAATGAAAAGAAAAACTAGTGCTCTCAATAATCTGGAGCTAGTTTGTGCATCAGTCCTGGTGATGAGTGCAGTCCGCCTTGTCCTCCCACAAAGAATAGCTCTAGCCTGGTGAAATGGAGAAGCAGATTGGCCCCACAGTATCACATCAGAACTAAATGACTGCATATATCATATCAGCCCCACTTACCCAAGCCAAGCTCTCTATTTTGTTGAACCCTCAGCCCCTTCTGCTACCATTACCTCTTGAGGTGCATAGGTACCAAAACCCAGTACAGGGATGAAGTGACCATCACTTAGTTTCACTGTCTGCTGTTTAGAATTCATGGCTTCTTGGTCCTCCAACTGAGAGGTTACTATTTCTTCTTTCTTCACAGGACACCAAATACAGGCTTGGCCCAGCCCCAGCTCACTTGTAATGAGTAACCAGTGGGAAGGGAAAATAAATTTCGCAGGTGGACTGTGGATTGGGGAGGATGGGAACAGCAGGGATCAGGTGAGGGGGAGGGAGGAAGAGAGAGTACTGGAAGAGATGACTGAAACGGAGCGGGGGTGGCATTTCAGGGGTGAGGTAAAAACCTAGTGTAATGGAAACTTCCTGGAATCTACAAGGGTGATCCTAACTAAGACTCCTAGTAATGGGAGATACGGAGCCTGAACTGGCCGTCTTCTGTAACCAGGCAAGTCTTCCAGTAGAGGGACTGGAACACCAACCCAGGCACAAAACCTATAACCCACAATCTGTTGTACCTGCAAGATGTGCTGGGGCAATCGTAGCTTGGAACTTGTGGGAGTGGCCAGCCAATGACTGGTCAAACTTTAGGCAAAAGCCACAAGAGGCATCCCATGCTTGACATTGTCTGGATTTCCAGGATCTGGAAGCTGGATGGCTCAGAGACCTACGGTAGAACCAAACAGCATTGAAGAACAAAAAATTCGATACAATGATTCCTAGTAATTTTCTGCTATACTTATAGATTAGGGAGTCAATCATCATCAGAGAGGCTGCCTCAGCAGCTGATAGCAGCAGATACAGAGGCCACAGCCAAACATTAAGCAGAGCTAGGACACACAGCCGAAAACAGGGAGGAAGAATTGGACCCAGAGAGTCCAAGCATACTAGGAGAACACAGCCCACACAGAACCAACTAAGCAGAGCTCACAGGGCCTCACAGAGAATGAAGCAGCAACCACGATGTCTGCATGAGTCTGCACTTGGCCCTCTGCATACACGCCAGGGTTGTTTAGCTTGGAGTTTTTGTTGGACGCCTAACAATGAGAGTTGGGGTATCTCTGACTCATTTGCCTGCTTGTGGAACCCTTCTCCTCCTACTGAGTTGCCTCGGCCAGCCTTGATATGAGAGTGTATCCACAGTCTTATTGCATCTTGTTATGCCATGTTCAGTTGATATCCCTAGGATGGCTGCTCTTTTATGAAGAGAGACAGAGGAGCAGTGAATCTGGGAGAGAGGGGAGGAGGAGGTGCTGGCTACATCCTCAAAGAAAAGTGTCTGGCCTTCACAGCACAGACATCAGCTACCAATAGCTCTTATCTTGGGTGGAATCTCAAAAGTCCTTTGTCCCTCAATTGTGGAATTATTAACTGGCTTGATCTTGTGCAGCTAACTGTAACTACTCCTGGTTCATGTATGCAACCACCATGTCCTATCCAGAGGACAGCATTTCCCTGAAATTCTCCTTATCCTCTAGCTCACAATTTATTTTTAATCTTTCTGATGGTGTTCCCTGAGCCTGAGGAAAGGGGAGGTGTTTATTCTCAGCATTTGAATAGTTATGAATCTCTGTATTAAACCTCTACTCACTACAATAAAAAGCTTCTCAGACCAAGGTAGGAAGTAGCACAAATATATAAACATAAGCATAAATATTCAGAAGGTAACATCACATCATAACCACTGAGAAAAACAAAATCAGTAGATGTTCATCTAGGGCCTATAACTTCCTTAGCCACAGGCTTTGATTAGGTTTATTGTACCAGGTGTGAATTCCCTCCTATGCGGCAGCTTCAAAGACAATCAAGAAAGAGCCTGATTACCCCCCATAAACAATCTGACCACTTTTGCACCAGTGGACATATCTTGCCTGGCAGGTCAGTATTGCAACCTTCAGCATCCAGTACTTAATAACATTGTTTTTTTTTCCCCAGCCGCCTACATAGCACCTTCCAGCACTGTTAAAATTAGCTAGCTAGCAGAGAAAGAAGTCTGTGGACAGTTCAAAACTAATTTCTCTATGCCCTGTAGCCGAAGCATATGGTATATTCATTAATAGGGTCTTACCATCTAGTTAAAGAAGACAATGAGGAGACTTGGCAATGGCTTGTATTGTTCCAGGGTACTTCTGAGAACTTCCTGAACAACTCATAAGGAGGTCAATGTGCTAAGCACTGAGATTTTTGTTTTGTCTTCATAGTTCACTACTCTGTTCAAATGCCTTTCTACTTTTTAATTATACCTCTAATTAGCTTATAAACTAGTGGGTCTCTTACTACACACTTGATGTTGGTTATTATACTTCCTTACTTTCCTTCTCCTTAGCTGTCTTCTCCCTTTCCCAGTTAAATATTGAACTTCCTGTATTCACCTTCCATTCTTTCATATGACACATGTTCCATTATTCTATTAGTATATTTTTACTTGTGCTGCAGAATTGTAAGTCCAAAGTAACCTCTTTGTGCATAGTTCATTTGGCTAACTCTTCCCTTGGCTCCTCTTTCCCCTTCCCCATTATTGTACTACATGCTCATATCTTTATTCCCAAGTATTTCCTCTCTCTAATTTCACCTACATTCTGTCATTCTCCCTCCCTAAATACATACTTTTGATAGTGAACTTTCTAGTGTTTTAGTTTCCACATGAACTCTAGGTTGAACACACAAAATGAAAGATTTTAAGCTAGGGCCCAGCAGAGAGACATATCAGCAGCATTGTCTTTTGTGGCCTGGGTGACTTCATTTAGTACAATTTTCTCCAGTTTTATCCATTTACCTGAAATTTTTATAATTTCATTATATTGTATCAGAAAAACCCTTAGAACTGATGATATACATTCAGCAAGGTGATAGGATATAAAGTAACATTCAAAAAATCAGTAATCTTCCCATGACAAAACTACTGGAAAAGAATTCAGGGAACAATTCCATTGACAACACACACACACACACACACACACACACACACACACACACACGCACGCACACGCACGCACATGCACACACACACA